TGCTGAACTACGTTCCAGTAACAGTTCTCCCTGACCTTACATTCTGTCTGCTCTTAAATATGTTACTTCTTCAGCTCTAAGTTTGGGACAAGGGCATGGTTGGGAAGAGAGAATCCAGTAAGCACAGAGATACTGAAAGAGCAAGTAAAATTTGATTAAGTTGATAATGGCAGTGTGTGGCTTCTGAGTGATGACAAAGAACTAATCAGTTACAGCATTTCAATTGTTTTTGTCCTGGTTTTATTTTCAGGCAAAAGTGAACAATTCTAGTCTAGTTGGAGTGGGTTACACCCAGACCCTGAGGCCAGGTAAGGGTTATCACATGAATTACGTCACATACACGTTTTATGCATCACAAAGAAAATCTTTGAGATCTATGCATTTATATGCAACTATTTCCCTTCCTCAGAATAATTTTGTCTTGAAGGAAAAGTAGGTATTTTACAGTAGCTTATGTTGCACATCAAACCTTTATCTAAACAAGACAAATTCCATTGCATCTAATGGTATTTCTGCATCATATTCCTCATTGATTTGTGTAGGAGTGGACTGTATTGTGTTTGATAGCTTAGCTTTAGGCTGTGCAAAGCAGTCTTTTTTTTTTTTTTAGCATTACTTTCTCCCGTCATATCATATTGAATGATAGCAGGTCTTGAAATAATGATTAATTGTCAAAAGAACACACGTCCTGCTTTTCATATTTAATAAAAAATCCTCCAGAATGTAACTTGTTCTGCTTAAATTTGAAAACACATGTTAATACTATATTACCATTGATTAGTTCTGTGTTTGAAAACAAACAAAAAAAAATTGTAGTTTCATTCCATCCCTTCCTTGGTACAAGCGTCTGTCTATGCATAATTTTCCTCCTCCTTTGCACACCTTAATGTAGAAAAGGAGAGCTCTTGTGTGCTTACCAATTAGAGACTTTGTATATCTACTTCATAACACAGTATTTACAAAAAGCATCTAGCTTGATTCACATGACTAGCTTTCAATAGATTTCCATGGGTAAATGGATTCTTCTGCAGAAATCTTTAGAGGAAAGTAATGAAATAGAGAAAGAGCTACAACTGGGACTTGTAATGACAGAGGTTGAGTTGCATGAAAGCTGCTCTGATTGTATGTTGTAAACATGCTGTTTAAAAATTTTACAGGTGTGAAGCTTACACTGTCTGCCCTGATAGATGGAAAGAGCATCAATGCTGGTGGCCATAAACTTGGTCTTGGCCTGGAATTGGAGGCTTAAAAAGGCGAAGAAACTGCTGCAGAGAAGGGATATCAGAAGAATTTGGCCTTAAAATGTATTTCCAATGTGACCAGCAGGCTTTTTTTTCCAAGAAGGATGACCTAGAACAAGAGCTGTATTTGAAGTGTTTAGACAGTTACTTGTTAGCTGGTTTCTAGTTAAATTGGTTACCCATCTAGTTAAAATCCTGCGTTAGTGCAGTCACTGAAACATTATTTAAATGTATTTAACTGTTTAATGCGCTACCCACAAATAATGAAATAGACATTTATGAAAACTGTACAATTGTGTGCATGTTTGTTTTTATGTTCCTTTTAACATTCGATATTGCCATTGAATGAAAAATGGATCAGTGGATGTTTTGAAATGAGGTCAACAATTTTGTTAAATTGCCTGAACTAGAAATACATTTGGTATCCCAAGACAAATTATGAATAAAACAAGTACACACACATACTTGTGCCTCAGATATTTTAAGAGTTAAGATATGAGGGTAGTGCTCAGTTAAATTTTAACTTAAAATAATCCAAAAGTAGTGCTCTATACCTTTGTGCAATTAAGGATCCCTACTCCACCCATGACAACGCTGAATATAGATGGTTTTCACTGAACAGCTGGATTCCTCAAACAAGTTGAATGTGCTTTTCTGCCAGGTAAGATTTGTCATGACACAACGGTTTAATTCTCGCTGTGTTCCACGGGCAAGATTTACTGCATTGCTAGTTGGCCTCCTGATGCAAAGAGTGCAGAAAGATGTACTTGGCACACTGAGACATTTAAAAACTGCTCCTTGATGCTTTTGCCCAAGGGGTGAAAAACCTCACCACAAACACACCTTTTGCTTATATTTGTATGAAGTGAGATGTGTATCTGCAACTGAATGTAATGGTGTAATGGTGTAACAGCCTGCTTATCCCAACTGCTGTGAGAGGTTTCTGCTTAAAATGACTGAAATAAAGGCTTAATTTTAAATGGAGACGGAGGAAAACGCATGCGATTTTGCTTTCCCTTTGACTAATAAATCTTGGCAGGTACCCATTTTAAGTCCAGAAACATGCAGAATAAGGGGAAAACTCATGTTTCATGAAAACTAAGAGAGAATAGAAGTATGAGGGATATTTGGTCTGTGAACATAACATCCCTTAAAGTCAGACATAACTAGCTGTGAATGCTTTTAATGTGGAATATATTAAATGCATGTAGTTGCAACGCTTACATTTAAGAATGGGGATTTATTGAGTTCAAGGGAGTTGCCTGGAGCCTACTTCTTACAGTCTCTCGTAGCTGAGAAGGGTATCCTGATACTTAGTCTTGCAGTCTGTAGTTCACAGCAGCTTCCTTTATAGGGCAGGTGGCTAGCTTTTATCAGGATGCTTTATCTCTGGTTCGCAAGCTGTGTTTGGTTCATGCTGGATTAGACTTAACCCCCATAAAAGTCCTAGTGATTTGCTGGAGGTCTTGTTCCATCCTGCATTGTTGCCCTCATACTCAAATTCTCCAGTTGGGTACTCTGTAAGCTGCCTGTGTTTAGGCTTTAGCTGTGGAATAGCTGAGCCACCTTCTTCGCAGAAGACAGAGCAGAGCTTAAGCTTCCAGCTCAGGTTCTTGAGCAGGCTTGCTGGTGCATTTGACTAGTGTTGTTACATGACAAAGAGAAGGTTTGGCAGCGTTTGTGGTTTGGAGTACCTTTACTGCTGTTGTTACTAAATGCCCTTTTCTGAGGAGCACTTCCACCACTTGGTGATGGAAGAAGCATGTAAGGCGCAATTTGTTTTGCTCTCATTGTGTGTTAACATTCGTAAACTACTTTTAGCTTGAAGTGTTTTTATGTGCTAGACCACTTCAAGCTACGGACCGTGTGGCCAGACATTTGAATTTTAGTATGCATTCTCTTTTTAGTATAACCATCTTTGGTGCCTCACAAAGTGTGTCCAGGCTTCTGTGTGCCTGTATGCATTGTCTAGCTGTAGCACCTGGGCAAATAAAGGGCTCTGTCTTTGGCTTATGAGTGATGCCTTGTTTGCATCCTTAAACCAGCATGGCTGCAACACTATGTTTCTCTGTTTTTGGAAGCTTTTGATAGGGCTGTAATGGTCTGACACTTCTTTTTTTTTTTTTTTTTTGGTGGTGGTATTTTGTTTTGGGGTTTTGGGGGTTGTGGGTTTTTTTTTTTTTTTAGAGAAACAACTACTCTTAACATTTTCTTTGCTACCTGCTTACCTCTAGCTGTTTTTCCAGAGGTCACAAAATGAGCAAGTGAAAAAAAAGCAGGTATTGCAGAGTTTCTCTTCAACTCTTTGTACAAGTTAGTAATGAAAAGCTTGAACCTATTCAAATTACTCTGTTTTCATGTGCATCACTTTACTAGTCTGCAGCCCTTAAACCTTAAGTAGTTTCATTTGTTATAATGTTGATAGGCCACTGGAGAAATAAAAGGGCTTTGCAGTAGTTAAGACAACTATGAAAATATGAGTTTTCTTAAAATACTCTGTCATAAATAACTACTTGGAGCATGAAAAGGAAGTTCAGTATCTATCTCTTGACATCTCTTAAGTGAGGCTTATAAAAATAGCTTTCAAACTTTCTTTTCAAGTGTGCTACAGAAACTGGTGTAATTGGAGTTTTGTGGTAAGGAATGTTGGCAGCTTAAATGGCTCAATTTTGTTAAAAAGCCTTAATGATAACTTTCAGTGCTAGCCAGCCTTTCCTCAGGTGTCATTCTGAATAAAAAAAACTCACTTGAGATAACCAATGACCTGAGCATGGCTGTGCATCTTGTTGCCTGGTACAGCTGGAATAGGTGTTGTCTCCGTGCATATTGCAAGGAGACTTAATCATGCTTCCATAAATAAAAATCCTTTCACATGAGATTGACACCCTGGATTTTGCAAGTTACTGACTCAAACATTTATGTTCTCGCTGGGCTGTAGAAATTCTCCACGTTGTTTCAATTAGCCTTGCACTCTTCATGTGGTTCAGCTTGGTGTGGTATATTCTTAAATCTGCCTATTGTACTCCGCAGTCATTCAAACCCAGGAAATTTGTTTGGAACTGTTTTGGAATGGGCATGGAAACTTTTCACCCCCAAGCACTGAGGCACAGGTTTTTTTTACCTTTCTCTTGGCTATCGCTGGGATAAAGCCAGGTAGTAATCGAGTGTGCTTACTGCCCTCTAAATGCCCTGTTCTGGTGTTTGGTTTTATTACTGCAATAATCCATCTACTGGGTACAAAGGTGCATTTAAATCTATGGTGACTGTACTTCTATAGAAGTAGAACTGCGCAAACAGAAGACAGCCCACGCACAGATGATTCGGCCCTGCTTATGTCAAAGGTCCTTGTTTCCTTATTATACCAGTGAGCAAAGACAGAAGTAATTTTATGCAAGGTAAGCTGCTAATGATGATAAATATTGGGTCACACCTGTGGCAACAGTGTCTTAATGGCAGGTACAAATGCTTCCTGTGAACTGGCAGAAAGGAAACCCCAAAGAAAAAGCTGGTTGAGTTCTTATATGGCATGAAAGGGCTACATCTGTTGCAAGTGGTTTTGAGTTTGTCAGCCTCTCTTTGCAGTGGAATATTTCTGTTCCTGATCTGGAATGGGAATAAAAACACAGATTATATCAATTATTGTAGTGTGCATTCATTGTATTTTAGTGATGTTTCCCTTCTCGTGATTGTTTCTGGGCCTGCCTTTTAGTTGCCCGTTGTGTCTGTCTTTCCATGTGCTGCTGGGTCAAATGGAAAGCGATAAACAACTGAATTAATTTTTGTGAGCCTAATGTACAGCATCTGTTTCAGCTGTGAGTTTGATACTGATGCTCATGTAAAAAGAGGCAAACTTTTTTTTTGCACAGCAATTTCTGAAAAATAATATACAATTAAAAATGCTATTAGACAGAATGTGGGGTGTTATACACTGAGAGTTGGTTCCTATCTACACTCCTATTTATCTGCTGGTGTTGGAAAAAGCGCTGACAGACGTTTAGAGATGGAAAGTGGTTGGACTTCGTTTCAGCTCCAAACATCTGACCTTTACTACAGCGTATGCTTTTAAAATGAGAATTTTCTGCTGAAACCACCACCACGGCAGTACTTGCAGTACAACTACTGCTGGTTAACAGTAGCACGCACATCAGAAATCTTTCAAGGGCTTGTGGGTGTTTTCATGGGATGTTCTTTATCCTGGATCTGTAGGCGAAGATCCTAATGCTAAAGTAATGATTTTAAAGTTTAATGATTTTGTATTGTTAGCAGCTCGGTACCTTTTTTGTTTACTGCGCCTGTGCTCCTATGAGCATTAAAATGCTAAGTAGCGATTAGAGAAGTCTCGCAGATAGGACTTGGGGTGCCTCTCGGGAGGTGCGGGTGCGCTAGCGTGAGGCAGTTACGAGGGCCCAGCCTGCAGCCGGGCCTGGCGCCGCTGGGAGAGCTGAGGAAGTAGCTCACAAGGAGCCAGCAAGCTTTGTCCTTGGGTATTTTATTGATCCACGGTGGCATTACTAAAAACACACCTTAACTGAATCTTCACTGGGCACACGTAACTTCCTCGTTGAAGAAACCCTTAAGTTTCGCGATGCTGTGTTTAGGCCTTGGCTGTGGTGTAAGGGCTGTGGGAAGGGGTGGTTTTTCGCGCACAGATGCGGCCGAGGCATTTTTTTCCCCCGCAGCTGCTGAAGGAGCATTGCTGTAACTATTTCCACGACCCAGGGCGGAACCGCCCGGGCAGTCGCTGGGTCTGGCTGCGCCGGGCCCCCGGGCAGGGCCGGGCCCCCGG